TATTCACGAATTCTGCTTGACCTGCTTTTTTAGTGATTTGAGCCTACTTGACTTATTAAACTTGACCCAGTTGATTATGAACTCATCAAAAACTATTCAATTTTTGTTCATAATTTTCAAAAAATAAAAGTGAAAAAAAAAAAAAAAACTTGGCCCAAAAATACTTTTTTTCCGAAACTGTTCAAACCATGGTCCTAGATTCTTCTTTTGTTGCTATTCTCGCCATCGACAAATCCTCACCGTCCTAATGCAAAAAAGGGAAAATACAAATAGAAATTCCCACCGTCCATAAGACAAAGGTCTTAGGCTAAGCCCGATCAAAACCCTCTTCATCTCTCCTCTGGCCCGCTGTCTCCAATTTATGTACGTGTATATACTGGTAGATAGTCTGTGGTGTTTTGGTTTCATTGTTGAATTGGATTTTTGTTGCAGATTGGTTGATTGAGATTGAAAATCTTCGAAGATGTTTGGGAGGGCACCCAAGAAAAGTGATAACACAAAGTACTATGAAATTCTCGGCGTTTCAAAGAACGCTTCGCAGGACGATCTGAAGAAGGCCTATAGAAAAGCGGCCATCAAAAACCATCCTGACAAAGGTGGTGATCCCGAAAAGGTATATTCTTTCTTCTAACAGTCTAAAAAGTTCTTATTTTTTTTTTTTTTATAGATATATGCAGTTCGGGTCGAATTTTTTCGTGGGTATGTATAGATTAGCTCTGTTAATATAATTTCTGTTTTTACTGCATTAGTGGATTTGGTCAGCAAATTTGGTCAGGTAGTATTGCTCTATTGGTTTATAGCGTTGTAGATGTGACCTTTCACTGGACCAAAAGGAAAATTGGCTTTCTGGGTCTCAACTCTTTGGTTCTCTTTTTCTATGTTTGTTTTTTGGTACCCGAAATTGGGTTTTTTCAGATATTGTTAGTCTGTATGTGGAAAGAACACATGCTTTTGTATGAATGTATGTATGTATGTAGGTACATCTACTTTTATTTATTACTAATTAGATGACAATGTAAAAGTAACTGCCATCGTCACCAGTCAGTTAAGTTGTCAACAGCTGAAATTTTTTTGCTGTGATAGCAAGTTTTTTTATGTTCTTATGTTTTTAGGTTTATTTTCCTTCAGTTCCGAAACTTCTGAGGGCCTTGGAATTGGAATTTGAAAAGAACCCGTTTAAATTTTATACTAGTTTTTCTTCGATTGGTATTGCACGACCCCAATTTCATACTGCAGAAAACTATGTCATTGTCTGAGTTTTGTAATTTTCAAACTATTTACATTGTTTCGTGAATTCTGTAAACTAATACTGATAATAACGGAAACCTCAAACCTTTCTTATCTATTAATGTACTTGCTTTTCTTGCATGCAAAATTAATGTAAACAAATCATTTCAAAAAATAACAAAAAAAAAAAGGAAAGAAAGCAAAGAGACACATTAGCAGATTTCTCCTAGATAGTCTAAACTTTTCTGGTGCCAAAGCTGAATGCTTCCCTTATTATCTAATAGTTTACAGATCACTCCACGATGTAGAGTGACAATATATTATTCTTTTTTGTTATTGGTTCGGTTGATTGCTTTTCTTAGTTGCTTACATAAATTTTTGTGAAGCATTCCTATTGTTTTTGTGAGTGGCATCACAATTGTTCTGATACTCAAGTGAGTTATTTGAATTTTCAAAAGTGTTTTAATAAGATATGAATGGAGTGTCTCATTTAGCAGAGTTTCTATGAAGTATCACCGTGTTAATATTGTGGAACTGCGTGATTTTCAGTTCAAGGAGCTTGCCCAAGCTTATGAGGTTCTTAGTGACACAGAGAAGCGTGAGATTTATGATCAGTATGGTGAGGATGCTCTCAAGGAAGGAATGGGCGGCGGAGGTGGTGGGCATGACCCATTTGATATCTTCCAATCCTTCTTTGGCGGTAACCCGTTTGGTGGTAAGTGCTCTATGCATTTTAAAATCTTCTAAAAATAAACAGTGTTAATGGTTTTGTTTTCTTGCCCAGGTGGTGGAAGCAGTAGAGGCCGAAGGCAAAGAAGGGGAGAGGATGTTATTCATCCTCTCAAGGTTTCTCTGGAGGATCTCTACAATGGGACATCAAAGAAGCTGTCCCTCTCACGCAATGTAATCTGTTCAAAGTGCAAGGGGTCAGTTTTCTGTCGCTACTAACTATGTTTGGGGCCCATTAGCTGCCTACTTATTCTTGTTCTGACATGAAATGCTGTATAATAATTTGCAGCAAAGGATCCAAGTCAGGTGCTTCAATGAAATGTCCTGGCTGTCAAGGGTCTGGGATGAAAGTTTCTATTAGACACCTCGGTCCATCTATGATCCAGCAAATGCAGCATCCTTGTAATGAATGTAAAGGTACCGGTGAAACTATTAATGACAAGGATCGCTGTCCGAAGTGCAAGGGTGAGAAGGTTGTGCAGGAGAAAAAGGTGTTGGAAGTCATTGTGGAGAAGGGTATGCAAAATGGACAGAAGGTTACATTCCCTGGGGAGGCTGATGAAGCAGTAAGCAAATCATCTTTTGCTTTTGTATAGCCTGTATAGATCAAGGTTTTCTTCATTAATTTTTGTTTGATTTGATTTGTGCTTCTGCAGCCCGACACTGTCACAGGGGACATAGTGTTTGTGCTACAACAGAAAGAGCACCCCAAATTTAAGCGAAAGGGTGATGATTTATTTGTTGAACACACATTGACCCTTACCGAGGCCCTTTGTGGCTTCCAATTTATCCTGTCCCATCTGGATAACAGACAGCTCCTTATTAAATCCCATCCTGGAGAAGTTGTCAAGCCTGGTGAGTTCAGAATTACTCTTTAATTTATATTATTGTGACACCCCAAAGCCCGGGGGTCCATTGATTACCTATCAACCCGCGGAATACTCGTGGATACCAAATAACACGATATCACGCCGTGATGCCCCTTTTACCGGGGTCTTTAATTTAACGAAATTCGGGTAGAGTCTTCTTTGTACGGGGAGCTCTACCTAAAATACAACCTGTGCAATATACCTTAACATGACCGATCCGAGGCCTAATATAACACAATGACCACACCAGACCCATTTTAAGTAAAATTTGACCACACCGGGTCCATTTATCCATACTCAAATAAAAAGATGCATCGTTATATTAAAACAACCTATATAAACTCAGTTACAATTCTTTTACATATTACATGCCCAAAACATAGTTTTACATAAACTAAGGTTAAAGGTTACAATCTGGCCTCTTTTCACCCTTGAGGATCCAAGTGAGGGCCGTCCACCGGTGTGTATCTAGTACTTGAAATATTTTCCTGTATAGGGTGAGTAACGCCCAATAGAGTAATTCCTACAGAAGTTACTCCCCACCTAAGTGAACATGCAATGCTCACATACAACATTTTATATTTACATCAACATTCAAAGTAAAAATATGCATTCAATGTTGGAATTTATCATGTCATGCCATGAAATGAGATGAAACTCACTCATGCAAATCAACTCGAGCCCTTCCCAGCTCTTCAACACATGCAAGTGCCAATGTGTATGGAATCGTTATTTATGTTGCACATCAAATGACTTTTATCAATCTAGGGTCTTTGTATGGGGTGAATATTCATGGGCTTACACCAAAGGTCTCCAACCTACTCGGAATTTATGGACTTCCACCAAGGGCTTCGTACACCCACACACTTCATGGGACAAGTCAAGGGAGTGCGTATCCCAATCACCGGGCCTTGCATCCAAGGGATCTTTTAGTTCCTCCTTGCTAACCCCAACCCTATTCACCATGCAACCTGTGTGACTTGGCCAAGTTTTCGACCAAACTTAATCAAGTCCACTCGTCATCCACCAAGTGTGGTGTTGACGACCACCATGCACATACCCACATGATGCGATGTTATCGTGCATATGCAATATGATGTCCCATTGCACACTGATAACATATTAAATATGCTATGAAAAACATATGAACAATATCAATACATTTCACATATCTCATGACAAAATTATATCATAAGCATATAATTCTTATAATTCTCCACAATATCAATATAACACAAGCCTGTATATACATTGATAATTTTCATATCACAATTCTACATCACAATTCAAGCATATTATCACAATTTTTATGTCAATAACACATTTAATCACAAAGGTGCAATATACCGCATAACCGCACATGTATTAGCCCACATAACGGCCTTTATATAAGCCACAAAATAGCCTCTATATAAGCCACTAAAACAGCCCCTATATAGGCCACAAAATAGTCCCAAATTTAGTCACAAAATAGCTCTTAAACAGGCCATTAAACAGCCCAAAAGACAGCCACAAAACAGCCCCTAAACAGACCATTATACAGCCCAAAAGACAGCTACAAAACAGCCCCTATATAGGCCATAAAACAGTCCCAAATTCAGCCACAAAACAGCCCCTAAACAGGCCATTAAACAGCCCAAAAGACAGTCACAAAACAGCCTCTAAACAGGCCATAAAACAGCCCCAAATTCAGTCCAAAACTACATAACAATTCATATTTTAACCCAAAACGGTCCATCATTTCAACCCCAAAACAGTCCATAATTTCAGCCCCTAAACCGGACCTAGAACAACCCCAAAGGATAGGAATAAAATCAAGTAGGTAGAACCCTACCTTAATAAAAGTGCAGAGAATTTCTATAACACCAAAATAACCTCAAAATTTTGATTTTTTCCAAAGTCTTCTCTTGGATTTTCGGTGAAATCCACTTTTTTTGGTATGTACGCGTAGCCCTCGTCGAGGAGATGAACTTTAGCTCTTCGTCCAAGTCGATTGGAGCGACGAAACTTCTTTGATCGGAGAAATAAGCCTTGAAGACAAACTTTTTTTCTCCTCACTCTCTTCTCCCTATGGCCGGCCAAGGTGATGATCAAATGAGATATTTCTCCAAAAAATCTGATTTTAAGTCTACATTTATAGTCCCGATTGTGCGGTCCACATCGCACCGCATATTTCCTACTTTCGGGTCCATTTTTCGTCCTGAAACGATTCATTATATTCCGGTTTAAGTTCAAATCAATTTTATTTTAACTTTTATCCAATTATAAGAAATTTTATAAATTTTATTTTTGGGAATCTTTGAAACGTCATTCGTCACCCAATTGTCTCGTAAAACGTACAAAATCTGATTATTCCGGAATTTGACGAAAATTGACAAGGCAGCTCGATTTCGCGATACGAATCCAACTGTAAGGTCCGTTGCGTCATCCAAGCTCTAGGAAAATATGGATTTTAAACCCGCATTATAGTAGCAAATTATCATTTTGCCCTTTTTCATAAAAAGTTCAAATTTTCCCGGGTTTTACAATTATTGTTAGAATATTTGCAAATTTGTTTCAATTTTTTAACAATCAGCTCATAAAATTTGGAGTATCTGAAATAAATGTTACAAACCATACCATTGCATTTATGATTGGATGGAATCTTTCTTTGTTATTTCCAGGATGTTAGTGATTGTGTTTTATTTGTGCACGCCATTTCCCAATGGGTCTGTTCTAAGTACCATAATGGTTGGTTTTCAATTGATTCTTGTTTCTGCAGTCCTGTAAAATATGTTGGTCTGGGTGCACATTCCTTGATTCTTACCTGTCCTTTACAGCATTCTGATTTTTGTCCTTGGTTCTACTCCTATGTGTAGATCAATTTAAGGCAATAAACGATGAAGGAATGCCAATCTACCAGAGGCCATTCATGAGAGGGAAATTGTATATTCACTTTACTGTGGATTTCCCAGACTCCTTGAACCCGGACCAGTGCAGCGCTCTTGAAGCTGTGCTGCCTCCAAGGCCATCTACCCAGATAACGGATATGGAGTTGGATGAGTGTGAAGAGACTACTCTGCATGATGTTAACATTGAAGAGGAGATGCGTCGGAAGCAGCAACAGGCCCAAGAGGCATATGATGAGGATGAAGATATGCATGGTGGTGCCCAGAGGGTGCAGTGTGCTCAGCAATGATAGTATTGTCAAAACTGGTGACAATGACTTGTGGGAAAGAGGACTCTGATGAGGTCAGAAGTGAATATCTACCGGGTGACTTTGGTTTGTCAAGACAATAACATCCCCCACAATGTTTGTCTTTTACTATAGGATCTAGATTATTAGTTGTGGATGCAGGGTGTGCCTCTGATCATTTGAAGAGGACCTGAAAGAACCATTGCAATTCCCTCGTACTCATTTTCTTGTGTGTTTTTACATTGGTTTTATTTGGCTTCATTTCTTTTTGACTTTGGTTTGTCAAGACAATAACATCCCCCACAATGTTTGTCTTTTACTATAGGATCTAGATTATTAGTTGTGGATGCAGGGTGTGCCTCTGATCATTTGAAGAGGACCTGAAAGAACCATTGCAATTCCCTCGTACTTATTTTCTTGTGTGTTTTTACATTGGTTTTATTTGGCTTCATTTCTTTTTTTGGATTTTGAGGATGGAAATTGCTCAATAGAGTTTCAATGTACAACTCTAACTGTTCCTTGTGCAACCTTGTGTTGCTGCGATCACTTCCTCAGTAGATCTTGGCATGATACCTGTGCAAAATTTCTGTTGATGCAGATTTTTTAGGGTAAACCAATTGCCTTGTTGGGTAGTTTGAACTCAATTGCTTGGGGTTTGTGAACTTTCGAGAATGAAATTAGCTCCACCCAAGACTGTGAGCATGAAGGGAGGGGCTAGACTTTGGTAACGAGAACTAGCTTTTCGTACCCTATCTCCATTTTTTCACTAATCTATACTGTGTAATACGACTGAGGAACATATTTGTCCATCAAGTGAGCACCAATAACATGTTTGGCTGATCTCTCTCTCTCTCTCTCTCTCTCTCATGTTTGTCCTTTGTAGTTCTACTTTTGTTCATTTAAAATTTAAATTTTATTCACCATGTCAGGTGGTACATCATTTGGTCTATGTTTTCGTTCTATTTTTGGCTATTAAAAAGAAAATATTAAAAAAACAAACAAACAAGAGACTCAAACATGAACATAAGCCCAGACAGTTACATGCAACTGAAAATTAAAGCAAACAAGCCGATAAAATCCAACACTGACAATTCCATGCAAGGTTCATGAACAACGTTGTCCATCCAAATCTATTACGCCTTTACAAAGTTATACACAAATGACTACATTTCTTATATACAATATGCCCTAATCTTCAAACTTTGGTTGAGGTGGGAAAAAAAATACTAGCAACCTTGTTCTTTCGGCATAGTTGCAACGCTAATCTTCTTTTCAATTGTCCAAAATTCTAAACAAAGTTTTGGCAACCAAATTTGTTTTACAGCATGTCATATGTTCCAAGTGTAGTCCCCTTTTTGAAATCAATTTCAGGGTCTAAAAGAAAATGTTTTTTCAATTTTGACCACCCGAAAAATGAATAATTAGTTTCATGTTCTATATATATATATATATATATATATATGATGGTGTAAAACTAATGGTGGATGAGCAGAGGATATGGACTATGCTTGACAACTTGGATTTGAGCTACAAGACTCGTGAGGATTGTGTTTAGATTTTCTAGGTGATTGGGGTGATGTGCACAATAAAAGTATAGTGATTCACTAGTTCGGGAGCACGGTTAATCTACTCTTCAATGAAGACTCTTGCTCCTTTTTCTTTTATTTCTGTAGGATTTGATTTACAGGGTTTCTTCTACGATATCAGACTTCATTTCCCCCCCTTTCTTAAGGAGGCAATTTACAGTATTTATAGCACGATTTGAATCACTCAGGGATCTTCAACGAGATCCTCTTTAACCATGGAATCTTGCTTGATTTTAGGAGGAGATCTTGGGTGGTTTAGAGTTTCACGCCTTGATTACTTCCTCTTTGTTGTTTTGCGGACGCCTCTTGTCAACCATCTGTTCTTTATTTGACTTTTCTAATTTTTCATCAGAGAGGAGCTCGGGACTTGGGCTTCAGAGCTTTGAGCTCATTGTCCGACCTCGCTTCTCGAGCTTGTACTTAATAAAAATTATTTGTTCATGCATCATCAATATATATATATATATATAAGTCATATAAAACGGTAGCGATTACACGAAAGTTTCATCTCAGATAAGTTTAGTTCCATTTGAAAAACAATCTACATTCAACAATGCCTAGGCAATCAGACATGATAAAAGCGAAGTCCCAGCATGATTATTGGCCTAATGATATGCAGAAATGTGGTTGGATTTGTTTTAACATTTAAGAGGAACTTCGATGATTCACTGAGTTTGGTCTCTGTTAATCAAGCATGTTTTGAAGATAGACTGAACTATAACCCTATTTTTTCCCATTGTATGCAGAAAGTAGTTTTCATCAAATTTTAGCCTTATAGTTATAAGTTCGAACATTTTTTATTGCACTATGTATTGATCTCTCATTTCATCCGATAAACAGATTGCAAGAAGGTGAGGAAACATGGTACTAGATCGAGTCAAATCAAATTATATTAACTTAAAGGGAAGATCTATTTCCCTATAACGGAAAAATTATATGCCAAAAATTACTTATATTTCACTAAAAAACTAATAAAAAATGAATAATGTCATAAAAGTAAAAACATGTTACATTACTTTTTTTTTTTTTTTTTATTAAAAAAGTAATCTCAATGATTGTCCATGTATTGCTAAAACAACCACGTCCATGTGCCGATGTGTACTAAAGCTGAGAGGAAAGAAATGGGCATATGGACTAGAAAAATAAAAAAGAAAAACTATCAATAAGTATTATTTTTTCTCACAAAAATTCATTAAGTCCTATATTTTTTTTTATATCAATGAAGTCTAATTCTTAACATTTTATTTCATTGAAGTTCTAAATTTTAATATATTTTAATTTTATCCTTAACCTTTAATTATCAAAACCCTTTCATTTTTTTTTTTTTTTTGCATTCTTAGAACCAATTAAGATGACCAAAATTTCTTGTTTACAAAACTAATATTGAAACCCCATAAATTTTATTTTATTTAAAAAAAACTCAGCTAACATAACTTTCATAACAAGATCCAAAGAAAGTCCACATTTTTTTTTATTTTCTTATCTTATTGGGGTACCCAATCTTAAAATATGAGACAATATTTACTGATTGTTTAATAAAATAAGAAAGGTTAAAAAAAAACTACATCGATAATATTTGTCGATTAATTCCATTTTAATGTCGTTATCGATTCAAACACAACAACTAAAATAAATTCCTAACTTAATCATTTTAAATCCAATAAAAATTAATAGAATAATTTAAAAATAATGAGATAATGTATCAATAGAATCTCCAAGATAATAATATTACCTTAATCAAAGTAAAAATTAACTTGATGTAAGAAGAAGAAGCATCACATAGCAATTAAAAAGTTCTAAGAGTGTGCTGTCGAAGTTGACATACAAGAAAGAATGCAAAGTCACATAGCAATTGAAATGCCCTAAGAGTATGCCGCTGAATTGACATAAGAATGCAAAAGAATGAAAGTGTTTTTATAACTAAAGGGATATAATAAAATTGGAATATAAATGAATTAGGACTTAATTGAAATAAAATATTAAAAATAGGACTTCATTGATATAAAACAAAAATGATAGAACTTAATGGATATTTGTAGGGGAAAAGTAATACTTATTGGTAATTTTTCCAAATAAAAAGGCAAAAATGCAAAACAACCCCAACTAACCCTATTTATATGTGAGCTAACAAGAAAATTTAGGTTGACTGTTTTAACCTTAAAACAAAATATAAATACCATGCTAACCCTATTTAATACACTCAGGTCTTTCATATGGTTTCAGTTTCGATTTGCTCTTTGTCATTTGCATTAATGCTCCTTTTCCACTTTGATCAGATGTCATTGAGTAATGTTAGATGGACTTAAAAATTAGACTTGATAATACCAACCATTGAATAAGTAGTAGATTCTAATAAATGCTAAGACCCCTAGTGAAATTAATGGATGTAATCATCAAGTCCAATTTTTAAATCTACTTTTTAAGTTCATGTAACATTGCTCGATGCCATTATCTGGTTATAGGTTTGTGTTCCAAGATCCTTGTGTTCACAAACTGTTTAGTGCATCGATTAAGCTACCAACCGATTGTATAATTTTTTATTGTTGCCTTTTTTATATGGATATATAAACCAAAATCTTTTAAAAGAGATTCGTTTATTTAATTGGCAAATTTGGAAGTCGGTATAAAAAATTGAATTAATTGATATAAATTACATTAAGGAAACTTATTTGATCCTAAGTACATTTTTTTTTTAGAAAAATACTAAAAGGTCATTCATTATTCCATTACTCTCTCTCTCCCTCTCTTCCCATTACTCTCTCACACTTTCTTCCCTATTTTTTCTCTATCTCTCTCTCCTTGTTACTCTTTTGAGTTTATCATTACACAAAAGAGTTTACCATTACACCAAATTTGGTGTATATAACTGGTATAATAATGTCGTGATATTAAATGATATAACTCTTTGATTTACCTAAACAATTGAATAAAAAATTGGGTTAGTATCGTAATTTCATGAAATTGTTTGGTAATATAACTATTTGATTTATCAGAACATATGAATAATTGTTTGGTGTATCATAAGAATATTTTAATTGATTGGTGCAATTGTTTTAACGTTGATTAAAAAAAGAGAAAATAAGGGGAGAAAGTGAGAGAGAGAGAGAGAAAAAAAAATCAAATCGAATCATTACATATTTGAAAAGAAAATAAATTAACAATGAAAGGGAAAGAGAGAGAGGAGAAGAAAGAAAGGGAATAGGGGAGAGAGAATGAGAGGAATGGAGAGAAAGGGAAAGAGAGAGATTAACGGTGTGAGAATTAGGAGGAGAGAGAATGTGAAAGAATAAGAATTATGCATAATTTAAGAAACGGTAAGTAAAAACATTTTTGTTCCTAATCACAAGATGTTTTATTAAAATTAAACTTAATAAAGTAAAATACTTATCCACACACTTCCTTTCAAATAACTCTAAAAAAATGTACTTACACCCAAAAAAACCCTATTTGATTTTTCCCATGTTTGGGCTTTTACTTTATTTTGCAATATCTTTTTCTTTATGTATGATTGTAGGCTACCTTCATATCTCATTAACCTAATTTCATTATCTGTCATGATCACTAATCTATATCTATACTACTATTAAAAGGCAGTTAAGGGGAAAAACTTTTAATTTTTAAATTACTCTTAGTTATTCTTATAATGTCCAATACATCCTTATGCCTTTTAATCTTCCATGCATTTTAATCTTTTTTTATATTAAGTAATTATTTATATATCTATAATATAAAACACGACAAACTTCAATAAACCTATTTGACGGTCTCAAATAAACTCATACAATGACTACCAACATATCTCTTAAAATCATTCATATTGAATTCTCCTTCTCCCCCAAAAAAATTGACCTCTTCTCACTAACGTTGCACCGTGCCTTTGAGCACATGTTACCCTTAGCCATCTATGATAATAGAGAATGAATTCTTTACAATCAGCCTATAAACAATTGTTAACAGGCTGCCAATCAAAGTTTGACAACTACACAAACACACAAATCAATGATATGGATTCCTAATAAGTTAGTGTAGTTGTCAAATTTTGATTAGTTGCTTGTAAACATTTGATTTACAGGCTTGTGTGTAAAGAATTTATTCTCATGATAATAATGTCCGCTACATTCTTTATGCCTTTTAATCTTCCATGCCTTTTAATTATGAGTAATTATTTGTATCACTAATGCTATTGTGATATAATTGAAAGACATAATTTAGGGACATAATAAGTTGTCACTAATGAAATGATAGTGAAATGAATTTAATGATGGGTTTCATTGTAGCATTAATGAATTCATTATCATATTATTGGTGATAACTTATTATGTACTCAAATTATGTCCCAATAGAATTGCTCTTATTTTTATATCGTCTATGACAATTAGTTTTTATGAATTTTCAACTTTTTGTTTTCCACAACGGACACCTCCCTTTTCTTCCAATAAAGACTAATCATCGAATTTTGTTTTGAAGATCCATGATCCCTTCTGTTTCTTTAAATGTTTGACATGATCAGTTCTGTGATATTTTCTTGAAGTGAGAAGACCTATGCCTATCTCCTATGATATTAAAGAACTCTTCAAATTAAAGTAATGAAAGAGCTTAAACCAAAAACATAGTTTAGCTCATAATTCATTGTCAATATATATAGAAATACATGAGCCAACCAACCGTCAGTCTGTAAAATCAGAACAAGTCACGTGAACTATGAGGATGCATGCGAAGATCAGCTGAATCTCTTTTGATAAAATAATCTAATTAACATAAGGAAGTAATATTCCTTTAGCTAAGGGAGCTCTCTTGTGATTGATCCAATCCTTGGGCAACCTAGTAATCATGATCATCAACTAAATAAATCATTCTTATCAAACTACTGAAGTGCCAAAGTATTAGCATGATACTTGAATACGACATTATCATGGGACTTGGAATTATGATCAGATTGGCATTATCATTAAACTTTGTCTTATCACTCCCTTGCAAGCTTAAGGGTGGTGGAGGTAGCACACCAAGCTTGAGCCTAAGAGTCTGAAACGCAGCTTTCGGTATTGCTATAGTGAAGATGTCTGCGATTTGAGAGGATGACGGAACATAGCTTGGAAAAAGGATCCCTTGAGCAACCTTTTCGCAAATGAAATGAAAATCAAGCTCAATATGCTTCGTGCGAGCATGAAAAACTAGATTTTAGCTAGAGCACTAGCAATATCACAAAAAAGAACTGGTGTAGTAGACAAACATATGTGCACATGTCACGAGGAGATAAGTAAGCCACATGAGATCGGTTGTACATGATGCCATAGCATGATACTCTGTTTCAGCACTGGAGCGAGAAACTGTGGCTTCTTGCTTAGAAGACCAAGAAATACAATTTGCACCAAGGTAGACGCAGGAGCTACTGGTAAAGCATCGAGTATCAGGGCAGTCGGCCCAATCAACATCAGAAAATGCATAAAGATTGAGGGATTAATGGTTGAGTAGGCGGATGCCATAGTCAAAAGTTCCCTGGAGGTAACACAAAATGCATTTAATAGCCTGGAAATGAAGAACACCTGGTTGATGCATAAATTGACAAACCAAATTAACAACATAAGAAAGATCCGGTCTAGTAAGGGTAAGATACTGCAAGACACCCACGACAAAGCACAATTTGTGTTTTAGAGCAAGGGACAACCAATAGGATTACAACCCAGCATTTAGGTTTTGGAAAGAAGTTCCCGAGCATACATCTATTGAGAAAGGAAAAGACCTCTTGAAAAACAAACAACTTCAATACCAAGAAAATAATTGAGAGGGTCAAGATCTTTCATGGCAAATTCTTTATTAAGATGGTCAAGGAGAGAGGATAAAAGGGAGGATTTATTACTAGTAACAATTATGCTATCAACATACACCAACAATAGAGTGATATCCCCTTGGGAATGAAAGATAAAAAGGGAAGAGTCAGCTTTGCTACAAAGAAACCCAATTTTGATGAGGAATAAACTAAAATGATCGAACCAAACTTGATGAGCCTGTTTCGAAGCATAGATATCTTTTTGAAGACAACATACATGATTGGGGAATTTAGGATTAGAAAAATCAAGGGGTTGTTCCATGTAAACAATTTCCTTGAGATGACCATGGAGAAATGCATTTTTAACGTCTAACTGCCAAAGAGACCAGCCAGAGGTGATATCAATAGAAAAAACTAGTCTATTGGTAGCTCGTTTAACGACGAGACTAAGGGTTTAGCAAAACAATCCCTGCAAGTTGGTTGTACCCTTTGGCGACTAATTGGGCCTTAAATCGTTCAATGGAACTGTTTGATTTGAGTTTGGTTTTGAATACCCAACGAGACCCTATCACATTCATATGAGGTTGCCTAGGCAGTAGGTGCCAAGTGCTGTTTTGCCCCAATGCCGTGAACTTTTCGCGCATAGGGGAAACCCAATGAGGACTGTTAAGGGCTGTTTTGAGGCTTTTGGGCTCAGTTGTGGTCGTAGGAAGTAAAGTAAGCAATGTTTTGTGTTGCCGAGCTTTTTGCCTAGTGATATCATTGGATGAATATTACCGTTGGATAAATGGTCAGATGACTGCTCAATAGGAGAGGGTGGAGCACCAAGGGGAAGCTGAACATAGAGACTTCCAGTTAAGGATTGAGGAGGAGGGACACCTTTGGAAGCTGTGGCATCTTGTGCATGAACTGTGGTGTCGTCGTGCAGCTGCGGAGGTGTAGCAGTAATATTTGGAGCAATCGTGGTAGAATAAATATTATATTAGGAACAAATGGAGCATAATCCTCCACTTGTGAATGGTCATCTGAAGCTATTGGAAGAGAAGAAGTTGCAGTGGGTCCAAGGGCATTAGATATAATAGTGGATGCGCCTGTGATTGGTTGAGTGGAGGGCTCTAGAATTGTAGGACAACTTCTTTCCATTGAATCTTGACATAAAACACTTGAGGAGCCTGGCCTATGCACCTGTCCAGTAGGTGTGACAGTCGATGGAGAAGAAGAAATCTATATATGGGGCGGTCCAGCCTTGCTCTCAGATTGAGAGTGATTGACCTATTCGAAGAACAGAATATGTAAAGACAAGACCACGAGTTTGTGATGATATAGTAACAAATTTTAGTCAGTAAAGGGCATTGTGGTTTCATCAAATACCACATGATGTGACAGAAACACACGCTTGGTAGAAGGGTGGAAGCAACGATATCCCTTATGGGTTGGACTGTACGCAATGAAAACACGTGGATAGGACTTGGGCTCGAATTTGTTCTCGGAATAATCTCTCAGATAAGGAACACATCAACAACCAAACATTTTCAATGAACTATAACTTGGATGTCTACCATATAATTTAAAGAATGGAGTCTCCATTTTGAGTGTAGAAGAAGGTAGACGATTAATAAGAAATATCGCAGTGAGAAATGCTTCAATCCACATATTTTTCGGTAAATGTGCATGAAATAACATGGTAAGACCTATCTATATGACGATGTTTCCTTTCTACTAATCTGTTTTGCTCTGGTGTTCCTGGACAAAAGATACTTCTTTGTATACCACATTGTTCTAAATGATGTGGAAACTCTGTTAACCCAAATTCACCACTCCCATCACACTATGTCCTGTTGCTAGTATTTTTCCCGTTGCTTTGTCCTTTATCTGGAAAGAAGAACAAAATTCAAAAAGGCATGAGCGATTTTTTGTCAGTTGACTAACTAAGAGCAAATTTTCTTTATCTCAGGAACAAATAAAACTTCATCAAGACCTATTTTCCCATCTGAAGAATTCAATGTGGTGCTACCAACATGAGAAATAGGTAAAGAAGAACATCACCACACATAACAATATCATCTTCTTTATAAATTTTTATGCTCCGTTTGGTACGAAAGATGAAAAATAAGAGAGTTACACTTTCTATCATTCAAGGATAAAAAATAGGAATGATACACTTTCTTTCCTTTATGTTTGGTTGGATGGATGAAAAATAAAAATAATTATTTTTTTGTGTTTGGTATAGATGAAAAAATGGAAGGAGAGTCAACATTATACATACATAATTTACCATTTTATCCTTATGAGATTAGTGTACATGTAAACATATAAAAACTATGACTATACCAACTGAAATTAAAAAATGTAGCAAACCGAATATTATGTCCCCAAACTAATCTGCCATGACTCCTCAAACATTTCTTGAGCCTTGCATCAATTTGCTCAAAAGCTCCAAACAACAGTCTACTGGTACACCAAAAAATGTTCTCATATTTGCTTGGCTCTTAATCAAGAATAAAAATGCATCCATCTGGAGCTGTTCTGGAATACCAATATTCATCAGCTCAGCAATACTTCGTTCTCAGTATAACAACGCGCCTTTGTTTTCTTTGCAATTGCAATTCCCTTCTCTGCTATCACATTTCCTTCCTTGATTGCCTCTGCAACCCTGTTAATGCCACTGTTGATGTTTTCAATACGCCCCTCAAGCACATCCATCATTCCATGTTTTCATTTGGAACTTTTTGATGAGATAGCTGCTTCAGAGTTCACTTGAAAATGTGCGGAACGGGGAGAAGATGGCTCACACGTGAAACTACCTTCATCAATTTCATTGTTCAGATCAAATGTGTTAGCATTTATTTCCTTTTCCCATTGATGGACTTTTTCTTTTGCGCTAGTTGCACCTTCACCTGTTGCTCTATCTTTGGAAAAAAGATCATATAGCTTGTCATATTGACACATTTTAGTATGCTTCCATTTTTCAGCAGTCGGTTTTCCCTATAAGATGAATAAAAGGCATATTCAATAATTATTATGGACAAAAGGCATGTCACAAGATTTTCAAGAAAAAAATTCACGTTACGAGTTAAATCGAATGGTTAAAAATAATACCTCAATAAGCCCCTTCCATACTTCATTGTCTGCCCCCCACAGTTGTATCTCTAGATTCCATGCAAATCCACTCATGGTTAAGCCATTAAAAATTTCATGACATGCAAAAAAATTGCTTTTTAGAGTTTTGATCCGATTCTTCACATGATCCGTCACAAATGGGAAATCAAATTTTTCATTGAGTCTTTTTAAAACATTATTGAATGCAGTGGTTGACCAAGTCCCATTTGGTCTATTTCCTTTCAATTGTTCATCCAACAATGCATCAAGTAAAACTTTATCCCAATGTTCTGTCCATGTCACATTATCCTTCTTGATGTCATCACTATTTTCTTTTTTCTTTGATTTCTTTCCATTGCTCAATCTGCTTGTCAACAAACCAACAAAGTCATCCCATAAGACGATAAAATCCAAGAATGTCATAAAGAAATCAAGAATACAGCAAAAAAGTTCATGTCACACACACAGAGAGAGAGAGATAAGGAAGGCATGGTAATATCAAAGTAGCAGCACCTGCCTTTTTTATAGGTGGTAACCATTAAATGACAAGATAACTGGTTACTGTATTCTTCCATGCATTATGTTCATAGTCTACACAAAGTAGACTATGAGCTACAAGTTGCTCACGTTCTTAAGGATCTTCTTTAGGTACATTAGTTATATAATTCCAGCTCATATCATAAAGAACAGACACTTAAAACCACTTTTAACAGAGATTTAATTTACTTAAGATGCCAATTATGTGGTCCCTAATTTTCTGTTGCTCTACAATGAAACTGAGGCAGAAATTTAATTTACTTAAGAGACCAACTGCTACTCAAATAAACCTGATGCAGTTCCCCACAATTGTCTCCATACAAAGTGCCTAATGTCTGTATCCATACATCAAATTCCAAAACAAAGAAAACAGAAGGAAAAAACAACAAACAAAAACAAGCTAATCCCAAAACAGAAGGAAAAAACAACATCATCAAATTCATCCCATATGATAGTAAGACATCATAATCTATGAGTGATATAATCTTGCCACATGCTAGCTCCTATAGAATCCCTTATAATTGCACCATGCCTAGCATCATCATCATCATCATCATTACGGGTATTGGAAGACTCCTCTGCTTGCACCTCACTATTTGAAAGTTCATTATCAACCTTAGCAATCAATCTTTCATCAGGATCAACTCCCATGAGATAATTATGAAGGATACAACATGCCAGAACAATTTCAGTTACCACATCAACAGGATAATTGGCTTCTTCACCAGTTTCAATAATTGGAAATCGTTTTTTAAGCACTCCAAATGTTTACATTACGAAGCGAAGAATGTCGATGGTTAAATAATTCTTGGGGATTTTCTAGACCACGTGCGGAGTATTCTTTCAAGTGATGGCGCACCCCTCTATATGGAGCAATAAGGCCACTTCTTAACATGTAACCTCCATCTACGAGAAAATATTTACCTAGAAAATAAGAAAGCATTTATTAAGGATTTTCATATATAGATTACATTTTTCAATATTATATTTTAGTAACACAAAATTACCTCTTGGAATCATGAGTTTATCTTCCCTAGTTAAAGCATTTTTTAATATTCTTGAGTCAGATGCAGACCCTTCCCATCCTGCTAATATATAAGTAAATTTCATGTCAAAGGAACATGCTGCCAAGACATTTTGTGTTGGATAATTTTTCCTCCCTTGATATCTTGGTGCATCAGCTTCAGGTACCTTGACACAAATATGTGTCCTGTCAATTGCACCCACACAGTCCTGAAATGTTTAAACATTTTTAAACATCAATTCTATTGAGAGGTCTTCCCTAGGAAGAGGTAAAAAGGTCATGTTTACCTTAAAGTACGGATAACATCTATCATTGTTGATTATCTGAGGAGGGACCTCTGAATCGATGAGTTGCTTTAGAAATATATCTTCTAAACTGATTATAGCTCTTAGAACTTCATGAAAGTGGCGACTTATAGTTTCGCCAGATCGACGGAAGATAAATTGCATTTCACGATTTGTTACATTATGTGCTAGTACATATAAAAATTTAGCCACTTGTTCCTCAACAAGAGCATTCCTATTATCATTGAGACGTCTGGTCCTTCGAAGTAACTCGCATAACCTAGCAAAGGCATCAATCCCCATGCGTGTAATGTTACGACATTCTTCACCACTATTGAGTCGTGTCATGAGTAGGGTTGTCAAAATCTGACACGACACGATTAACCGACAAGAATCGGTACGAATTAAACGGGTTTGAGTGAGAATCTTAACGAGTTTGGGTGATAAACGGGTTGACACGCCAAACACGTTTAATAAACGGGCCGTGTTCGGGTGAGACCTGTCAAACCGTTGATCACACGTTTACCTATTTAAATAAAATTAATATAATAATAAATTAATAATTAAATTAAAAAATTAGTAAGAAAAAAGAAGTAAAGAAATCAATAAAAAAGAAGAAGCAAAATAGTAGTTTAAAGACAAAGAAGAGGAGATGGGGAACATATCAAAGATAAAGACAAACCAATGTCTTTTGTTTTTGTCCCACATTGGAAAATGAGGGAAGATGGAGAGGACTGAGCTGCCTATTAAAGGCAATGGTCTCTTGCTTTTTTTTTTTTTAAGCCTTTAAATATTATTTTTATGAGATTTGACTAAAAATTCCTCCTTTTTGAGGTAAGTGCAATTGACAGTAAAAACAAGTGGAGTATTAAAATTTGTTGATATAATTTTTTTAAAATTAAACGGGTTGAATGAGTCGTGTCGTGTTACCCGTTTAATATTCGTGTTGAGATATTTTATTCGTTTATTAAACGTGTTGTGTACTGGTTTATATATTTTTCACCTGTTACTCGTTTAACTCGATACGTAACCGTTTAACCTGACACGTTTGACACCCTTAGTCATGAGTTCTTGCCTTACACAGTCTTTTTCTCTATTATTTGAGGCAATTGGTCTATCAATGTATTCTAAATGGCCAATAATCCTAATTAAGGCAAAAGCATGAATCACATAGCAAACAAGTTGAATGACTGCCATACGCTGTCTTCGTTCCCATGTTCCTTGCAGTCGCTCTACCCAATTATTTTCTCCAATATCCTCCAAATTATCTTCCTCGGTACCTTCTTGAACTTCTTCCAAGCTCTTTTCCCACTCCATCTAGAAAATTAAAGTTGCTAATTTTTTTTTTTTGGTAAGTAAGAATATATACCATTAACCGAAAAATATATATCAAGAATATCACAAAACAAAATATCCCAATCAAAAGAGAAAGAAAATGAAAAGAAAAGAAAAGGGATGAATGAATTGACAAACGAACATCAATATATGTAATGCCCTTTACATTTGAAAAACTTATTGACATCGCTAATCCAACATTGTTATTAAATCCAAGTCGATCCAAATTCGTCTTTACATCTATTGCATAACACCCTTTACATCCATGTCTTGCGTCGTGAATTAATATAAGAAGCAATCTAGCTAAACAATGTTGCTCCTTCAAGCCAAACAACTTTGGGTAAAAGCTATTTGAGAGAGATACAAAGAAATATAAAGAGGAAGGGAGGAGTTTGTATGTACTACATACTTAAAGACCTCTGTAAACTGAGTGCTAGAGAGTTACCTTAAGGCATCCATCAACATTACAACATGGTAAATCACTTTTCCCTAGCTTTCCTACGGAAGCTCTAAATATATATATTTTTAAATCATGGCGACGTCCAACAAGTTTCAAATTATGTGTCAAGGATAACCCCAGAAGTTTCGATACCCAATATGTGTCCAGCACAAACAACTCCAATGTAATTAGTCCCTTCTGTTAATTTTTATTTCTACTGTAAACCACTGGTCTTAAGCATCTTATCTAAATGTGTATCACCTCTTTCCCCTTCAAGACATCAACACAGTGAATTAATACATCCAATTCCTTCTTTGTCAACACAGTGAATTAATACATTCAACTCTTGCAGCAATCCGTTTTCCTTGTCCACAAAATTTATCATGCTTTACATATAAATTGAAAATCGAACATCGGTAGATTACACAGGATATGGTAAATTAAAAATTGAAAAAATTTATTTTCGATTTAGCCATAAATTTATGATTTCAACTGTGAAAAAATTGAACGACAAAAAGATTCCACCGAATTCTAGAATTTCGCTCCTCTGCGATTTGGGTTTTTTCGTCTCCAATCTGAAGAATGATAGCATGCGAAGCGTTGGTGTTTAATGTAAATAAGTAATTTGTTAAAGGTTAAAAAAGTAAATAACATACTTTGACCCAACATGAGTATCATTTTCCTTCCTTTTCTAGTCAATTTTAGAGTGATTGATTTTAATGAGTTTGATGAAAAGTTATTATTGATTTTAATGAGTTTGATGAAAAGTTAATCCATTCACTTTTCTTCTTACCAAATACGATATTTTATTCATCCCTCTAATTTTTCATTCTTCCAACTTCGTTTTTTCTATTTTTTCATCGTACCAAACGGACCATTAGAGAAATAAGGTTACCAACTTTCGGTGTCATATGGGATGTGGCTCCAGTATTTGGATACCAGTTTGAATCTTGGTTGTGGGAATCTGACAAGGTTGTGGCTGCAAGAGCTTGTGGTTAGTTTTCTTCAACGTCATAAGAGTAATCATACCTGTACAAGCCTTTTGTAGCAGTGTGACCAATCCAACTACAAATCTGGCATTGGGGAGCACTATTTTGTTGCAAGTGGGTCTGAGTATTGGGGTTTTTGCATCCTTGTCGTGAGTTGTTAGGCCGATTTTCTTGTACGGGTACACCATTGTCATCTACGTGAGTTGATACAGGATGTTGAAATGACTGTTGATTACCTCGAGCTGTTGAGTTGGTAGATTGATTTGGAGTGAATTCACGACCTTTACGAGGGAAGTTGTTGTAACGCCCACGATTGAAGAATTTTCCCTTGTCACCATTGCTTTGAGCCGCAAAAGTAAAATTAAGATTGACATCATTTTTTCATCTGCATTATTTAATTTATTTCAAAGATCATAATTTTGTAAGGTTGAGACAAATTGATTAAAGGTAGGAAAAGGAAGTTTGGAGAGCATAGTAGTGAGATACTTGAACAGTTTTGTCTTCATCAAAAACAAGTTTTTGAATGGCAGCAAGGCTATCACATATTTCCCTATACTTCTTTAGATATTCATCCAAAGATGTTATTTCTTTCTTGGGCACCTGGAGTTGACGCTTGAGTTGAAGTTCCCTTTCTTTTGTGGCTTGGAGATAAATTTCTTCTAAATAGTTCCATACCTCTCATGAGGGGTACCTAGGCCAACAACATGGCTGAGGGCTTCTTCTGAGAGCGTGTCAGTGATCCAGCTCCTTAGCAACAAATCAATTTGTTGCCAATCTTCATGTAGGATTTGGAACTTCTTCTGTGTCCTTAAGCACCGTTGATGCCGGTGGATCTTTAGTGAGGTGATCCATGAGTTTAAAACTATGAATCAAGGGTAATATTTCCATTCTCTATATGAGATAGTTCGTAGCATTTAGCTTCACCGAGACAATTGCAATGAGTTGGTGGAGATTGGTAGCGGAGAGAGAGAAAGATGTTGATCAACTTGCCATTCATTTATTTTATTTGAGAGCTTGTGGATTTGATACCATAAAGAACTCTTCAAATTAAATTAATTTGACGAAAGAGATTAAACCAAAAATATAGTTTATCTCATAATTCACTGTCAATATATATAGCAATACAAGAGCTAGACGTCAGTCAAATACAAGAAGTGTAAAATCTATCCTAGCAAGTCACATGAACTATGAGAATGCATCCCAAGATTAGTTGAATCTCTTTTGATAAAATAATCCAATTGGATAAAAAAGTAAGAAAGAAAATCATCACAATCAAACTTGACCTTTAGATAAGACTCTATAAAGGAGGAGGCACAATGCTTTTTGTAGCGTTGGCTAATGTTTGAGAATTATTTTAATGATTGCATGAGTGATGGTTTTACAATCTGTATTTTAAAAGAATCAGGAAACCAACTTCTTCAGGCAGCTACATTGATATCTGATAAGACAGAGTTTAATGATAATGCCAAATCTGATCATAATTCCAAGTATCATGCTAATACTTTGGCACTTCAGTAGTTTGATAAGAATGATTTATTTAGTTGATGATCATGATTACTAGGTTGCCCAAGGATTGGATCAATCACAAGAGAGCTCCCTTAGCTAAAGGAATATTACTTCCTTACGTTAATTGAGTTTGACACCATACAACAAGTTGCATGACGGGCTTTAAAACTCTGCCAATGCTATGCTATGATTATGCCTTCCTTCCATTAGTCTTCTAAGGGAAACCAATTTGAAGAATCTAGTGTCTTGGAGCATTATTAATGGTGGATTATGTTGATAGACTTTTTCCACGAGAAGATATATGGAAGGAGTCGTACGAGGAGGTCATTGAAGGGCTCAGGAGACTTCTTAGGTAAAAAAATCTAAATGATAAGTAGTAACTACAACATTTTTCATGTTTTAGAGAGCTTAAAGATGCTTATGAGTTTCTTGATTCGATTTGCTTTACTGCTTCTTCGATGATTCCATCTCATGTGTTAATTTTATTTTGATCCAATTAGTACTAACTAGAGAGTTAATCGAGACAACTAAGACAAGCAAAACTTACTTACCACGACACTGGGCTCCGCCACAGGTTGGCGTGCATAGTTGAAGTGACGATCGGTTGTTGGGTCTACAAAAAAGTTACAGTGAACCCTTGCCCATCAAATCACAACCCAACAAGATTGAACCCCAAAACTATCTCACTCACTCTCACTCATTGTTTTGAATTTTGTTTTCATAGTGAAGGGACAGATGGGACCTGTTGCAACTGCTAAGATTGATCAGATTATTGTAGAATTGTAGACAACTTAGGGAAAACTGGTTAACCATGTTGAGAGGATGGAAAACGGGTTCGTTAATTTTTTAATTTTGCTTCCATGCACACCCCCTATCTCAGCATGTACCTCTTGTAAATAACAAACTCTAATTCAAAAGTATCTCTTCCCTGGTTTGATTGATAATTTTTCTCTCAATTGTAAATATTATAGAGAGGAAGGTAAGGATCATCTATACGCTAACTGATTATTTCCCTTACATCTTATTGACCTCAAGGGGTTACCATGTTTTGCCGGATTATGTATGCATTAACGTGTTTGTGTCATATGGTTGTTGTGGGTATTTGGGGGAAGAAATGACAACTTAAAACACAAAAAAGTTCACTGTAAAAATATTTGCTGAATCCTTGCTCATTTTTTATTATGGCAGAATTACTTTATATTTGGTATTAAAAATTACATAACGTACTTGAGGCAATAGCTTTAGACCTCACTCACAAAAGAATGTCTCATATTTATATGTTTATACTGTAGTCTAAAAATAAAAAATAAAAAATTCTAAGGTCCATAATTTTTTTTTTTCAAAACTAGTAGAAAGAAGAGTCTGTGAGTCCTGACAATCTTTGTTCTCCTCTATTGACCGAGTCAACCTCAGATGCCAAGTAACTTCAAGACAAGAAAGTTTTTGGTCCAATGATGCCAAAGAATACTACAGTGGCAAACCAAGATACTGATCTATCGAGAATGGACCAGAGGTTTACCTAGCAAATATTCAGGCTAAAAAAAACTCTCAACTCGACAGCATGTGCCTGTAAAATGCTTCTTTTGGAGAGTATTGAATTATAAAAAGACTAAATTATTTTTCAAATGCCTGCATTGCTCATAGGTTGTTGTTGACAATATGTGTAATACCTTGGATCCAGGTGTTCCTAGTCGAGCCTAAATGGATAAATGAAGGAAGAGCGCCCGAGTAGACGTCAAGAGCTCTTGGTATGCTCTGTGTATCCTCCTACTTCTTATTTGGGGTTCATAGAAACATACAAACCGCATACTCTTCAAAGCCCTACCATTAGTCAAATGAAAGCTGGTTGCCCTCACAAAAAAAACAAAGAAATCCCCCTCTCTAGTTGCGAAGGATACTGGTTACTGCATATTCGAGTAAAATGGTTGGTGGTAATGATGTGTGATAAGGTCGCTGCTAACGAATGGCGGGTGCGTGGAGAATGCTATGGATTCGAGCTCCATTTCCCTCTCAGTATTTAGATTTTCCTATGCTTCCACTTTCAAATA